ACACACACACACACACACACACACACACACACACACACACACACACCAGATGACAGTAAATCCCTGCGCCCCACGACCAGTGCCAAGGCCTTCTGTCTCCCCTCCACCCTGACCCCACATCTGGGCTGGGAGGCGCCCGACTTACCCAGTCCTCGAAGTGGCGGCTCCCGTTCTGCAGCAGCTCCTCAAACTGGATGGTGCAGTTGGCCACGAAGTCGTCGTAGCCTATGGGGGCATCGTGGAAGACCGCCAGCTCGATCTTGCGCCCATTGCACACATCGGTGACAAACTCGTCGTGCCAGGCCGGGCTGTTGGTCTTTTGCTTGGTGGCCGTTTGGCCGATGCGCGAATCGTCCACGTTGAGGGCGATGTAGGGGTCAAGAAGGAAAGTCTGTGGCCGGGGTCCCACTGCATGGCGCAGGGACCAGGCTGTGGGCTTCAAGCTCACGGCCTCGCAGATTTTGATCTTAAGAAGGCCATTGAACACTACCATGGTCGGGGCGGGGCGTGGGGGCCGGGGTCACTCCGTCCGCCCCGTGGGCAGGATGAAGAACCGACGCCCCGGCGCTCCGAGCTACGAGGACTCCTGGGTCCCCTCTCGCCCCACCCCACACTCTCCCTACACCTTGTAGCGTTGCGCCCTGGAGCGGGCGATTCTCAGCGAGTGCATGTATTTCCTCGCCGGGTTCCTAACGGAAAACAGGGAGGGGGGGAGAGCTGGGGAACGTCCGTGTTAGGAGCTAGTCTCTCCCCCCCTACCACCAGCCGCACCTCCAGAAGAGGCGAGGAGCTGTCGGCTCCGCTGCCAGCCGCGGGGACTGTCTCGCCGCCTCGCTGGCTCTCCGGGTCCCGGCTGCGGGGAGGCGAGCGCCGCGCCCGGCGCTTACCTACCTTTCCGAAACATAATCCCCGGGAAATTTCGACTCCGGGAGGGCGAGGGGGCGGTGGGACGGGGCGGGGACGAGAACGGGGGCGCAGATTTCAACCCGGATCCTCTTCTCACACCCAGCGCCTGCCTCTGATCGCGCGGGGCGGGGGATGGACCGAGGGATGTTCAGTCTATCCGGAGGGATGCATGTCGAGAGGAAATGGTCCTCCTCGGAGCCAAATTTTTAAAAATCCACAAGCCCCACCGCCAGCCTGGCCGCCGCCTCTTGGGCGAAGCAGCGCCGCGCTGCAGTCGGCGATCCTGAGGCGCCGGGAGCCCGGAATCTCACATCCGCGCGGGCTCGGAGTCGGGGTGGCCGCCGCTCCGGCTCCGGGCGCAGGCCGGCACCCGGCGGTGCGCAGCGCGGCGGCGGGGCCGGGACTGCGACTCGGCGCGGCCCCACCTCCTGGGCGCCGGCGCCCGCCCGCCGCGCTCCTCGCGTCCCGGCTCTAGGCTGCCGCTCGCTCGCCGCCTGCCCGCCCGCTTTTCCCCCTTGGTCCCTTCTCCCTCCGTCGGTGTGCGAGCAAGTCTCCCTCCCTCTAATGCAGGAAATGCGCAAAAGACGTCAGAGTGTGTGTGTGNGCCCTCCCCCATCTGCAATTTCTATTTAAGCCCTGTGTTTCTCAAAGCATGGTCTGGTCCAAATCTCGAGGACAGCTTGTTAAAAATGAGAACTCCTAGAACTCCTCCTAAACCACAGAATGAAACTCTCTGAAGGTAGGCAGGAGGATCTATATTCTTAACACCTTCCCCTTAGTGATCCTGATGCAAACCAAGGCCTGAGGAGCATTATTCTCTCTTTCTTGGAAAACCGAGCTATAGCAACAGTGTTTAAATGGGATTCTGCTTCCAGCACAAGTGAAATCTTCCCATCTCTCTGTAATAAGCTTTCTCTAAAGAGCCCCCTTTGTCATCACAACTGATACATTTCTCATTATCTTGGAAGAATAATTATCTCAGCTTGGCTTTTAAACATTCTGAAATCCATCTCAGTTTTCTAAACTCTCTCCCATGCCAGTGTTTGCAGAGCGTGTCCCCCATATCACTAATGACTTTAGGAGGCACCTGAGGTGAACGTCTTATCTTTTTATTTAGAAGCCATGTTTATTTTAATGTGAATGAAGAAAAATCATAACTGCCATATCCGAACCTGGGATTTCACGAATACTGGGGCTCAAGTGGAAAGTAGAAGAATCCATGTTGAAAACTATTAGATAAATAATAGCACAGGCGGTATTCAGATAAAAGTCTTGAACTTGGGACAGCTGACCCTGCCTGCTCCTTTCTGACAGGCGCCCTCGGTTTCTGCCATGCCTCATTCCCAGCTCTGACCACAGGCGTTCTCCGCCTTTACTCCAGCTGTGTCCATGCCCGTGGAACGCTGCCCCCTCTTGTAAATACCTCTTTAAATGTTACTCACATTTCACACCCAGTGCCTGCCTCCTTCCAGGAACCCTCTAGATTCTTCCAGCTCTCCTAGCATACTCCCTTTTTGAATCCCCTTAACATACTCATTTAGAACCTAATTGCTATTTAAGTGTCCATCTATATCTAATTAGTGCCATTTCCCTAGTGAAATGGAAGCCCCTTGAGAGTTACCTCTGGATTAGAGTGCTCACACTTCCCTGGTTGGATCTGAGCACCAAACAGGAACTCAGTGAACATGTGTGAATTCATCGTGCCACTGAGTGAAACGTTTCACAGCAATGAGAGAGGCAGCTATTTCATGCCTTCCACATCTCCTTCCTTCAGGCCAGGTTTCTTAGTCACATCTGAGAAAGGGTATATCTCTTCATGACTGCCAGGTAAAGAGCACAGAGGCCCAAGCCTGGGGAATTCTACCCAATGGTGTGATTCTGTAGGTGTCCCCTGGCTGACAGGAATGGCAAAGGTGACCTTAGTCAGCCTAGGTGCAACTTGTCTTTGTTTCCAAGGGCCAGTCACCTCTGCTGATGCATGCCCACTCTTAGGCCGGAGGAACCAGAGTGGCCACACATCCTCTAGTTGCAAACAACACTAGATGAGCAAAGAGAACCAGCTCCATTATTTGATGCATTATCCTATCAAGTTAGCCTTTCTGTATCTCAAGTTTCTTAATCTAATACCTGTCATACTTAATTCACACTTGCTATAAGGCAAAAGGGATGATTTTGAAAGTACTTCAAAATGTCACGTATAATAAAAACATTCAGGGTTACTGCACATGAATAGATAGGGAGAATAGACTGAGATGCCAGGGGCTCAGTTCTCCACTGGGCAAATGGTGGACAGTAGGAGGTGTGGGCTTTACTTCTACCCACCTTTGCCTGTCATGTGACCTCAGGTACCCACTTAGCTTCTCTGGGACACAATGTCCTTGTCTGTAAAACTTGCCTATGCACTAGATGATCTCTTGTAGAGCCAAATCCAACATGAATTTGAGAGCCTTAGAGAATGATAACCAAGTACCCCCTGCATGATTCACTGGAAGTGCTCAAAAGTGGGAATGGTGTTCTGATGTGCCCAGAGTTTGGGTGGGCCCCAGCAAAGCATCACCGGAGGCACTCAGACCCCTCTCCCTCCAACCAAGATCTGTCTTGTGGATAAAAGCAGACCTGCTGTTCATCCAACCTGCTCTCTGCCTCCTACCCAACTCCCTCCTCTGCATACACAGCAAAACCCCCCATCTCTTCACTACCACAGTCATGGTTTTTTCTTCTCCTTCCTATCCTACACCAACAACTTCAAAAACACAGGTTTTTAGTGTTAAAGTCTGGCTCTGAAGTTAGTTCTCTGTTCAGCTCTCCCTCACACACACACTGCTTTCATGAGTAAAAGGAGTAGTGGCTGGGTGTGGAAAGGACGTTGGGGAATGAGTGGGAACTCTGACAGTAGGAAGGGGCAGAGGTAAGGGGCATCGGTGAAATAGAATAGAATGCAATGGCACTGTGTTCTCTGGGTTCTGTAAAGGTTTGCCTGCTTCCCGAAGTGTAAGTCACAAATCTCCTAGGGTTGTACCTGGTTTGCTGTGCTTCCCTGAAACCCCTGTAACCATGGTTTGGGGCAGAATGCATCACTGCCCTGAGCATAAAGAGAACACGCTTTTTCTGATTTTCCCCTAAAAACGCTCATTACTTGAAAAACTATGTAAGGTAATACGCCAAGGTGATTCATATGCAACCTCTGACCCTAGGACCATTATGAAGTTATTTGTTCTCAATGATTCTCATAGAGGAATCTCAATGATTCCTCTACAGCTCTCGGTTAGAAGCAGACACNCCTTACTGCATGTAGTATATTCTGATAATTTCAATATTGTGCTATTCAATTTCCACAGTTAAAACTATTGTTTAAGATACACTCAATTGATTTCATGACCTCAGTTGATGGGTCCTGACCCATAGTTTCCAAAACTGGTCAAGATGTGTCACTATTCTCTTTTCTCCTGTCTTTCCCACTCAAAAAAAAATAGATCCTCCACAAAAAGTAGATAAAAATTCTAAAAGTTCTTAACCAACTTAAATTTGGAAAGGGTCAAATGGTGCTCACTTGCCTAAAATCCAAATCCCATTAGAGAAGGCACACAGCAGCCTTACGGTGTGTGGGTGTCCATAGGGCCACCTCTTCAGCCATCAGAGACAAGGGGCTATCTGGGTCTTAGATAGCGTTAGTGTAATATATAAACAGATAGGCAGATAGGCAACTAAACACGGAACTGATTACAGTATATGCATTATCTTGATTATATTTTGTTTATATACATTTGGTTTTTATGGATACTACCTGCAAAGTTGTTTTCCAAAAAAGGCTTCCCTAATTTATACTTCCACCAATAGGTTAGCAAAGGATCCAGTTTCTTCTTGCTCTGAAACTGCTGTGATCAGTCTTTCCAAGTGGGCATCTCCCCTTTTGATATTCCTGGGAGCAGGCACCAGGACTTCCCCTTTAGAACCCCCATGGCCCCTAGCACAGGCCAGACTCAGAGCAGGGCCCCAGCCCACAGCACAGGACCGGCTTATGAGCACAGCTCTAACGAGCGTGTGTACATGTGAACCTTGTGAAGGGTGCTTGGTCTGGGCTCTGAATCTTCTCCTAGCAGAGGGAAGGGCTTTAAAACACATTCCTGATGGGCCTTATTTACTCCAGGCACTCAGGAGACTGTCTCAGGCTACAAAACTACTGTACATCCCACCCACAAGGGGACAGCCACATGACTCCATTTTCCTGCTTGTTTCTGAATCACTGTCTTATCTGTCTTCCTCCCTTTTCCCCCCTAAAATAGTTGGCTTTACAGTTGTCTGTGCACAGTCATATGATAAGCAGTGATAAAGAAAATATTTTAAAGAGCCAAGAAAGGATAAGGAAGCAGAGAAAGAGACGTGTTCTCTTGCGCACGGGGGTGGGATTCTAAGACTCCAGTTCCTAGAAACAAAACCAGCAGATCAATTTTAAACCTTCAGCCCCAGCAACGTGAAAGAGTGAGATAGACTGTTTGGCTAAGACACCCAAATGCTGCTCTGTGTTATTAGGGACTTGGGGAAATAAGATCTGAGTTCCACTCTAGTCCGTACCAGGGACAACCTCTATCCTCAATTTTCCCATCTGTAAACTTTGGATGAAAATGCCATCCCTCTCCCCAAATCCCAAAGTGATTCATCATTACTACTTCCACATGGGTGACATGTTTCATTTTTCAGAGGTATGCTAAATGAGTCTCAAAACCCTGTGAGGCAGGCAGAGCCAGTATGACTATTCCCATTTATACAACTGACAAAACTGAAGTTCAGAGAGGTTCATTTCTTCCCCAGGTCACACAGCTCATTAGTGGTGGACCTGTGTTGATAAAGAATAAACCAGAAAACT